GACTGAGAATATCCGATAGATGATAGAATGACAAGAATTCTTGAGACAAATCACACTAATTTAATAAGTCAATTTTTTACATTTTGAAATGTACAGAATATAGAGGCTGATGGTGGCGTACACGTTGATAAGATAGAATAGATGTTCGCTAGGCAGATTGCACGCACTGGGTTGAATAGTTCATACGAATTGCGTGGTCACGTGATGGGAGAATGATCGCAAGCTCTTGCATCTTGATCGAACTTAACGAATGACGACGTGCTGCTTCGTCAAGCTGAGATACGCGCACGTGTCATTGAGAATTCGCTCTTTGAGAATGCTCGTAGTAAATATTCTTGTCGAGTTCGAGGCATTATCTCGATGTGACGAGAGAGAATGTGAACTAAGGATTCGCCACGATTCAAAATGCTTCGCCGAAAAGTCTTTCGCAACGATGATTTACGTAACGTTATTACGAGACGAGTGAGATGACAAGTCTAACTTACGATACAAGCTGAATTTACGAGTACGACAAGAGCATTGACTTGATGCGAGCACGGTATACTTTCCAAGAGCAAGGATTACGATCGCAGAGAATTTTGCTAACGAGAGCTTTTCGAGAAGCTTGCGGGATCATCCGATCGTCCTATCAGCGACACGACGAATCATGTGATTTTCGGCCAATCGATAGCACACACAAACGTTCCATCGATTGCGAAACAACGCCGCCCTTGAAGGGTGGCTGATAAGCATAATTACTTCCGCGTGATAGGTATCGATGGACTACTTGGGCGCCATCGATCGAATAATTTAGGGTAATCGATCGCCGCGGATCGATCGTCACGTGCGTTTCGCGTGTTGCGCGTCTCGCTTTCAGGCGCGATTTACTTATAGCAATTTCGAACAATATCAAGTAATAAATATTTGATTACGTTTACAAACTTTTCTTTTTTTCAATTGCATTTTCTATTACAGCAATGAAATTTTTAGTTGAAGTTGCTTTTTAATGCATAATTTTTTAAAAACAAGATATACAAAAACAAGATATTTATATTGATAATTTAATTATTTTTAAAAAATAATACACACAAAAGAATTGCTATGGCTTTGATCGTAATAGTGGAAAATACATGACTGAAAAAAATCTGTGAGTGCAGTTTAGACAATCATCAATTACAATAATTTTACAAATATTTTATTAGGTAAAAATTTAAGATTAAAATAAATATGAGCAATTAATAAATTGTATTTTTATTTATTGAATGGTAATTAATAAGCAATATAGAAAAAAAGTGATTAATTTTGGGACGTCTTGTAAAATGTTCCAGCACTAAAAGCACTTTAAGTTTTTCTGGATGCTTGCACTAAGTGCATGCGCTTTTCGATCCTAAATCTTAAAAACTCTTGAGCTGAAAGAGTTGAGGAAACCAAGATTTTTAGAAAGAATTTTTACTCTTCAGTGCTGATTTCATGTGTGACAACACTAAGTGACACATTCTACAATTTTCACTTTGTCAAGACTCTTGATTTTATTATTATGTGTTAAAGAATAAATGGATAAGTGAAATGAATGTGAAAAGAATAGTACGTATATTGGTATGATTAGATTGCAAGCAAACCGACTTCCGGCGTTCCCGACGACATATGCACCGCATCCACGGGAATGCATGCGACGGTGTGCATCCGGTATCTAGCCGCTCGTTTTCGAGTATTCGCGCGAGGGGGAAGAGGGGGAGGCGTTCTCGGGAATCGCTGAAGTGCTGGAGAATCGCTCTTCGGGGTTAGTCTAGTCGTCGACGTCGTGGATGAGGTCTCGGAGGAGGTTCCAGAGGGAGGTTAAGGAAGCTTTGGGACGTTACACGGAGAAGGGGTGGTCGAGGGCGCGTGCCACTCTGATTGTAGCGGCCATACTGGGACACTGGAGCCACATACCGACAATTCTTGGCCTCATGCGACATGCCTAGACACCCTGGGAATACTTATGATCCCGAGGTTGAAGAGATTGAATGCCAAGAGAATCCCAAGTGAGAATCTCTGTTACCCTCCTACCCTCGTTCTGTTATGTTTCGTAATTACATGCCGAAAAACTTAAGGCAAATTACATGCCTTATTAGTTTATATCTTTTTTGTACATTATGTCTCAAGAGCTCGTTTTACGGAAATTAAAGCATATAATTTTTCCGATCTCTGTAAGCTGATTATAATAATGCACACATCGAAAGGCTACTTTTTAGTTTTAATCCTTTTGAATCCAAACTCTTTGCGATGAAACATAAATTACCTGGCTTTAAGAATATCTTAGTCATAAAGTAAAAGAGAGAATAAAAAAGAATATCAGGCTTTTTGATCCAATTACCAAGATAGTGGCATTAAAAAATTACAATAAATATTTACCTCATAATTTTGAGAAAAATTGTCTTCAAAATTTTTTAAAAAATTCCGTTTTATTACGTAATACTTTCAATCACATTATACCGTAATCTACTTTACTCTCTTCTTCCAAGCATATCATCGTGTCGTTAAATAAACTTAGAAAATCTCACGTGGAAAGTCAATCGAAAAGTCGGAAATTCCCGATGACTTTCTATCGAAAACATAAGGATGCTCGTCAACGTAAGTCCCTTTTGAAGGTGACACGCCGGTAATATAAAAACAACCGTTTCCATCTTCTCTTCATATGGACGTTTTTGGAAGTGGAAGTGTCTCGCGATGAATCGCAACGTGCACGAATCTGAGCGACTGCCGATATCATTTCGAGATTCCTCATTAGGACACAGTCGACTTCCGCTAGAAGCGGCGCGCCGTTTGCTCTCCGGAATCGAGCGATTTCGCAATGCTGCTGCTT